AACGGGACCGTAGTCCGGGACCGTAGTCCTACACTACACTAACAGAAGGACTAAAACTAAAAACTTACAATAAGACTTACAATAAAACAGCCAAGTTATGGTGGGTGGGCGGGAAATGCTGCCACACAAGCTAGGTGTGGAAGCACGAATGATCGGGGGAAGGGAGACGGGATGGGGAATGGGATTAATTAGAGGGTGAGTGGCTACAGTACCATCTGTGCGCCGACAGAAAGTGGAAATACCTCCATTTTTCGCATGGGGTTGCTGCATAGTTTTGCCCAAAATGATGCTGACCTCCTATGAATACTTTCCTTGAAAGTATAAGTTATGAAAGCGAAATGACTTGAAATTTGGCCATCAGTGTAATATTTCTGCAGGTCAGGTGCAGGTAAGCCTAGAGCAGTCCATACTAGTGTCTTGGTGTGTATGTGGGGGGGGGGGGGTGGTGGGTGGGAAACAAGTAAATCGGAATGTGGGAATAGGGAAATTGGGTACTAAATTATCCTGTAATTTCTTGCTTAGTACTCCCAATGTCTATCTTGTCTTGGTGTTGTCTAAGGTGACTGGAACTTTTGACCGTAAACCTGGACCTGATTATTGTACAGTAGCACTATCGGTATATCATATTTTGGAGTGCGAAACACGAGTTCAGGTCACTCACTTACTAGTGTGTTAGATATATAATGTTCAAGTGGTACAATGTATATTGAAGCCAAACACTGTTACAGAAAGAGACAAACTTGAATTTAGGCCATTCTAGTTTGATTAAGGGTTATTTCTTTACCTGCCATGGCCAGATTATCTAAAGATGTGTGTACAATCTACAGAATTGTACATCAGGTCTACTCTCCAAGCAGAGATTTGGGTTTGGGGTTATTTTGGGCAAGTTTTAGGCTTTTTTATTCGGGTTTGTTTTTTGCACTGGAATTTTTTTTCACCCAGCCTAATTTGGTTGCAAAAGAGAAACCCCGATAAAAAAGCCTTAAACACACCAAAAATAACCCCACACCTCTGCTTGGAGAGTACATCAGGTCTGATGATCAGGTTTTTGCATTTCGCTTTTTGGGACTGAGTCCGTGTCTATACGGAATCACCCAAACCGCGATTCGGGTAACTCACATTCCTCACATCTGGTCCACGTGCCACACACACCTGTGAAACCGTGTCCGAACATAATGCGCTTGAGCTACATTTATTGCTGTTTGATGATAACACGCAAGGCGGCGTGTTATTAATGTCAGAGGTCAACGACCTGCTTGCTGATGCCCCCCCTCCCAGCGTATCTCGGCCGAATGCCGACGTGGTCCCGCCAGAGGCGGTGAAGCTCGCCCTAGAACGGACACATTATTTGACCATTACTGCTCTTTAAGTTGTTGCCACGTAAAAGTTGGTTCTGCATATAAAAGAGAGAAATATCACTCCGTAATTAATGACCAGGCGAAGTCACATTGAAATCACATTGCGTTCAGACGCAAATCGCGATGCGGGAAACCGATTCAAAACCACCTCTAGAAGTGGTTTGGGATCGAGGCGCTTTCAATGTGATTTCGGAGCGTTCACATGGAGCCACTTGAAACCGGCTTCGGGGTAAACCACATGTAAACCGCCTTGGGTGATTCCGTTTAGACACGGCCTGAGTTCCCGAATGTCGTTCCGGTTCAAACTGGTCCAGCTGACCCGGTACCCACCCCTACCAATCCTCCAATGTGGTTGGTGTGTGAACAGGGCTTGAATTGAGGGCTTAAAGTTAAACAGGTGTGTGTGTCATATGGAATGTTTTTTAATTTTATGACCTATATCACTAAACCGTCTGAATTTGATTTCTTACATCTGAGGAACATAATTCATGCTAGGCTTTATTGTATTATAGAAATTAGAATGAACTGCGAGGCCTTGACACACATTTCACATGCATACATGTAATTACGCAGGATTAAGTGAAACGATTATGTAACTAATGTAGATGTTCTCACACGTGGTAGTATTCCTAGTATGGCCATGTTGATTTGATTATATGGATGACATCCGCGCGCGCATGAATTTTCGGCCGTTTCAAAAAAAAAAGTTTTCAACCATACTGTAAATCGTACAAAACAGTTGCAAAATGAGCAAAAATATACCATAAGTTACAAAAAAATTAATAAAAACTATACCAATGTCGTAGAATGCCAAAATCAAACGAAAAAAGATTGTAAAAAAAATTGTAAAGAAATGAACTTGAAGACTAGATTATTCGCCAAACCATATTCTGTGCCATTTGCTCAACCCTCATGACCACGTAGATTTCATAATGAAAAGAACTTTTTTTTTTTGCAAAACTTTTCTTTTATTCTCACGCGCGCATCAGTTTTGGGGCTCCCGGAGGATGTCATCCATATAATCAAATCAACATGGCCTAAACGGGACATGAAAGCCATGGACCTGCAGCTGCATGGCATGCAGGGCATGGTTTTGAATTTTGATTGAACAAATTTCCTCCTATTGGGCAACGAAGCTGTGAGTCCTTGCATCTAGGGAGCTTTATGTTGCATAAACTATAAAGTTAACTGCCAAATGCTTTACGTAGAGTGAAAAATTCAACGACCAATCACATGTTACAGCTAATGTACTGATTACAAATAACGCTGATTTTAGACAGCTTCCAACAGATTACAAGCTAAAAAGGCCTGATTTCGCCTTACAAAAAAGGGCGTGCAGACCCTCTTATAATTATATATTTTGATAATTGCAAGGTTACTATTTCATTCTCTTATCTCACTGCTACATAGCACTAGTACTTATTTTTGGGATCCATACTGGACTAACAGAAATACAGTATCGTATACTAGTAACAGACCCCAATCTATTTATGGTTATAACATTAACATATGTACAGTTATAATTTTTATTTGTGTATTAGGCCATGTTGATTTGATTATATGGATGACATCCTCCGGGAGCCCCAAAACTGATGCGAGCGTGCGAATAAAAAAAAAGTTTTGCAAAAAAAAGTTCTTTTCATTATGAAATATACGTGGTCATGAGGGTTGAGCAAATGGCACAGAATATGGTTTGGCGAATAATCTAGTCTTCAATTTCATTTCTTTACAATTTCGTCTTTTTTCGTTTGATTTCGGCATTCTACGACATTGGTATGGTTTTTATTAATTTTTTTTGTAACTTGTGGTATATTTTTGCTCATTTTGCGACTGTTTTTTACGATTTACAGTATGGTTGAAAACTTTTTTTTTGGAAACGGCCGAAAATTCATGCGCGCGCGGATGTCATCCATATAATTAAATCAACATGGCCTTGGAATGA